TTAAAAACAGTTACGCAAAATTTTGAAAATTATAACAAAAAATTAAATTTAAAATCAAAAAAAGACTTCAGGCAAAAGTCTGAAAATTCAAAATTTTCAAAGAAGTCACAATTGCAGTCAAAGAGTTCTACAGTTCTCAAAAACATTCACACAAAAAACAAAAAATTACAATTATTGAAAAATAACTTTCCGAAAAAATCTAAAATATTATATTTCTTCCGATGTGACCAGAGTTCCACCATTTTATAATGCCATTCCTCAGGGCATGAATGAGAGGGAAATGGGTTTTTATGGTGTGGTCATGACTTGTGGCTCTAATGGGCTTAGCTGGCCGTATGAACCTATGACTTCACTTAACATCAATGTCTTACGCAGCTTATTGGGCAACGTTTCGATCAACCTAATTACTTGGGACAGTCGGTCAAACACAGATTCCGGATTTTCACAGCGAATTATTGGTTCACTCCTAATTGTCCGTCTGGAAATCCTTGTTACTTCCCACCATGTGTAAATCCACCAGTCCAAAGATGAGAACACATCGCTTCGTTAACATTTTCTTTTGATTATTCGTAAATTAATCTGATTCACTACTGTTTCTCCCGTTTCCACTTTTAATGCAAGTTTCTAAATGCCATTCTTCAACTATACTGGTCTTGCTAGTATTTGCAGAACAAAGACCTTCACTTTCTTTTAGGCTTTTGAGACGAACTGAAGGAACATATTAGTCTTTCATGTAAAACAGACGAAAATCTTTCTCGAGGGTAGGAATTTCTGCGCTTGACAAATTCATATTCCCAAGACACTTAAATTTCTCCTCTACTAATATCTGTATCGGCATCATGAGAACAATGCCTCTTTGAATCGGCTAATGCCCCAAAAATGCCTTTTTTGCAAGCTTTTCTTAGCAAACAGTTGTTTTATTGGACCGGTAAAAAATCTACCTCGAAAGACTCATCAGCATTTAAATCTTCTTCAGATACAGATTCAGCGATCAATGGCCCGTAAATCTAAATATTAGAAGAGGCAACTCAGCTTGTTCTAATTGAAGGGCATTCCGAGCCAGAGAATACGCCGAACAAAGAAAATCAATATCTCAGTTACGGCCCCACAGAATACATACATTTTTGATACCATTAATCCTTGAGGAATGGCAACCATTTACCAGAGCCCTCGTACAAGGAATACTCTCTGACGAAGATAGTCCTTCTTGTCTGTGGTGAAAGCGTCATCGAAAATTGTATGTAACATTTGGAGGCAAGAGGAGCAATTGTCCAGAAGTACACCTAGCGATCTGCAGGCATTATTTATACATAGATGACGAGAAAATATACATAAGTAAATACTTCTTGATCTAAATATAGTTAACAGGAAATATTGTTTAGGAATTGTTAGTCACGTGTCATATTGTCGTCTTACGCATACAAAATTTAAAATGAGCTAAATAGCCGCATCGAATTTTGTCGCTACCTAAAGGCTAATTCCAACGGCCTTCTACTCCGATCGGTACATTTCCGTGGGTTGTCCGATAAATATCAAGCAAATTCCTAAGCAGTATCTTTACAAACGGGCCACGGACCGCCACCAATCTTTTTCTTCCTCTTAATTGTTCTATCCTCTCCCATCCACACGTACACTTACACTACTACACGTGACGGGAACACTACCGCACGTGACGGGAGACAAGTCGAAAGCATAATTTGTCCCGGCTGCGGCGGTGCCCGTCTTGGGGAGATACCTGGATAGGGAAATCCCCGCAGGCCGGCGTTTATGTCCGTTCCAAATTCTTCCAGCCTTCCTACCTTCCGCGATAAAATATTCTCTACACTAACTGGCCCAATGACCACAGAAGTTGGCGAATCCTCAGACGTCAATATTTCAAATAATGTTCACGTTTCGCAGCTTTCGAAACGCTCATCCCTGTCTCTCTAGAGATTTGCATCCTCAAAACAGTGGTTGAAGGATGTGGAGGTTCTCAAAAAGGTCAACTCAACAAAACACAAAGAAAAAACTTTTGAGCAAGCAAAGGTCGCGCCGGCGACTTGATTCGTTCATCTTCTTTCCTCTGAAGGTGAAGGAGAGCCAATCCATGTTGGCCTTTGCCCATTGAATTCATTTTTGGTCTTTGGCCTTCGTTATTTTCTCCTAGTATATTTGAAAGAACATTATTTGAAAAATTATTAATGCAATACCAAAAAGTGTGTTGTTTGATCATAGGGCAATATGATCATAGGGCAAGAGTAATTCTAGGGTTTCAGGACTGTGTGAAAATATTTTTATGGACACTGTAGAATAAAGTGTCGAGAAATAATGGACTCTGGCGAAGAATCCGCAAAACTTTTCAGCATCCCTGCAGTTGAAGATGTTTGTCGTTCTCTTTTTTTAATTCATTACGATGCACCTTTTAATCCAATGAATTTTCTCTTGAGTCCGAAAACTATCCCAGCATTATCTTTGTGCAATAAAATATGCGCACATATCGAGTTTGGAACTTTGCCTCATTTTTGGTGGTAATGAAAACAAAATGAAAGAATATCGTCTGTAAGCATTTATTCTTTTCATATTGTATCATTCTTATCACATCCCCCTTGTTTATGGAATTTCTCCACTACATTTCTACGCCTACGAATATAGAACTCGTATTTCTGAGTTCATATGTATTCGTCATTTTAGTAAGTCATTTTAGCGGATTGGAATTAATACTCATCGGTTTCAGAAAACTGGGACTATTGCAACATCAAAGGTTAACTAGTCTGGCACCTTCAAGGAGAACCTCTTTTTCCACTGCATATGTAACACTGCTCGTTCAGAAATGCATCATGCAGTATTGCTGCAACAGCCAACCTGACTGCCTTGCACTTGCATCACAACTTTTTATGCGTTCGGTTCTGATCTTTCGAATTCTGAAAATAAAAAAGTAAAATAAGATAAACTTGTGTTCTTCAGACAAAGTATTGTTCGGAAGGACAGGAAAAGGACTGGCTGTCCATGTCTTAATGCTGTCTACATGTTGTCAATAGGTTGCCACTGATGTAGAGTTAACGAGAGGCTGCTGGAGATTACTGGTATAGCTTGATTTAAATTGAATTGAATTGTTGCCTTATTGTACGTGGCGAGACTGATTTCACTATTATTTTAAACTTAACAAATTATTTATGCTTGTGGTGCAAGTATAGTGTAATTACCATGTATAAGTCCGGTAACTGGATCGAAACCTACATTTGGAATTTATTTACATTTTTGGTTCATATAAAAACTTGCACGAGCAGAAAGTTCATGAACGAGCATTTTCAATGCGACTTCATGACCAGGATGAAAGCAAAATGGGTTACTTCAATCTAATAACAAGCGCTAACATATTGTTTATACACGTCTGATTGCTGACACGTTTACAGAATGCTATCTTTTTTAAGTAGATTTCATATCTTAAATCAAATTATTTTATTAGAATTTTGAAGAGGGCTCTCAGTAGTCATCTTCAAACATCTTTTGCTGCTACAGACAACTAGTATCTAAAAACCGATGTTTATTTGGTATTTAAGGAGAAGAGTCTGCTCCTACTTACAGTCAAAATAATAACAGATCTACCAAAATTTTAAAAAAATTACGAGCTCATGTGCCTTTGTAAATTAAAGCTTAGAATTATATTAATCAATTGCTCTATCTAATGTGCGATCATTCCAATTACAAAAACAAACGCTTAGCAATGATTGAATGAAAAATAGGGAGAGGGGGAGAAGAGGGAATAATGATCATGGTGCATCTACCAACATATTATTTAAATTACATTTTCTGAATTTGTGATTTATTCATCTTTACCAAACTTTGAAAGGACACACTGCGACTATCCTGAAGAAGAGCCTGTAAAAATTTCGCATCTATTCATACACTTCCTTTTATGGTATCAATGTCGGTTATAGATACTCTCCTATAAGAAGGGACTGCTTTGACAACTACAGCATGACCTCTGCTGACAACATAATTGCAGGTTAATGCACGCATTTTCTCAGTGCGTTCGTTTTCAGTTAATTCATTTGTGAATGGCTTCATCACTATGCCTTGCAATGGCATCGCCCTGCATGACGTTCATTTGCTTCCCGACATGTCAAAGTTGCCCCTTCTTGAAGTAACTCCTCTACTCATATTGTTGAATTCCCTTTCTACTGTCGGGAATTGGCCATCTCGGGACCACGCGAATGTGCAACCCACAGGGACTCAGTTATTATCGAAGACGTGACTTTTATGTGCGGATCAGAATTTTCATGCCGAATCCATTTGTACCAGCAGGGTTGTTAGCTCTGGGAGATGAGGTAAATTGACGATGAAGGATGATACGGGCAATCACAAACATACAGACAAACACACACAAATACAACCATACCCGAGGTGGGACTCGAACCCGCGATTCTTCGGTCCAAGGCCGCCACGGCACTACCGCTTTATTGATCTCGGCTACCCTGATCGGCTGATTTCAGTTGTGTTAGTATAGATATCGCTTATAAAAATCGCTATCGCTATCGTAAATTTAGCTTCACTATGCGCACGTTTTGTTGAACTCTCCTTTTGCTTGTAATGGTAAGAACAGAGGTAAGGGCGAGTTGCTATTTTGTTAGCAATACAGAAAAATCATACTTGCAATTCGTGTATCAATGCAAATAAGTTTTCTATAACTCAGAAACAAAAATGACAAATTTTAAAAATCGCAAGATTATCAATATTTGAAAAAATATTTTTTAAAGTTTATTTCTATTTGTTTATGTTAAACTTTTACTCAACTTTCCTCTATTTATAGTGAAAATGACGGGAAGGGATTCTGGAACTCCAAAAACGTGCACAGATAATCTTCTCCCCCATACGTCACTTACAGTATTTACTGTTGTTTTTTTGTTGTTTTTTTGTTTGTTTGTTTTTGACTGAATAAATATATCTAAATCTTTATTGCACAGCGTCCGGCGTGAACTGGCGTTACGGCATGCGTGTGTGTGTGTGTGTGTGTGTGACAGGTGACGAGCGAGGCGGCGGTGCAGGCGTACGTGGCGCGCATCCGCGCCGTCAATCCGCACCTCAACGCGGTGGTGGAGGAGCGCTTCGACGCCGCGTTGGAGGAGGCGCGCGCCGTCGACCGCGAGCTGGCCTCCGCCCCCGCCCCCGCCGACGCCGACGCCCACGCGCAGCGCCTGGCGCGCGACCGCCCGCTGCTCGGCGTGCCCATCACCGTCAAGGAGAGCTGCGGCCTCAAGGGTGAGTCGCCCCTCACCACTCGCATTCGCGGAGGAAACAAGCGGTGCTGGTCCGTCAATTCCCCATTCACGATGACCCTTCGAGCACCGATCAGCACGCGCTGGTCGTTCGAGCGCCGATCCGAACGCGCTGGCCGTTCGAGCGCCGATCTTAAAGCGCTAGCCGTTCGAGCGCCGATTTGAATCCGCTGGTCGATCGAGCGCCGATCCGAACGCGCTGGCCGTTCGAGCGCCGTTCCGAATCCGCTGGTCGATCGAGCGCCGATCCGAAAGCGCTAGGCTTTCGAGCGCCGATCCGAATCCGCTGGTCGATCGAGCGCCGATCCGAACGCGCTGGCCGTTCAAGCGCCGTTCCGAATCCGCTGGTCGATCGAACGCCGATCCGAACGCGCTGGGCGTTCGAGCGCCGTTCCGAATCCGCTGGTCGATCGAGCCCGATCCGAAAGCGCTAGCCGTTCGAGCGCCGATCTGAATACGCTGGTCGTTCAGACGGCTATCCGAATACGCTGGTCGTTCGAGCACAGATCCGAACGCGCTGGCCGTTCGAGCGCCGATCCGAACGAAATAAATGTACATAATAATATAGGATTGACAGGTGAGTTATTTTGGAACCCCTCCACCGGTGATTTGGTACACCCTTCTTTTTGTGAATCCTTTCTTATGCTTATTCGAATATATCTAATTTCTTAACAATATCGAAATATAAATTGCTGAAAAAGCTTTTTGAAAGTTCGTTTGATTTGAACGATCTCCTGAATTGATTACGATTTGTGCCACTGAAACCAATTCCATTAAAAATACAGTGGAATAAAAACCTGCTTTGCTAATGCTGATTCAGTGATACTCAAACATTTTACGAAGAAACCATATGTTGTTTAAATAGGGTAGGCTTCGTATGTCTCTTGGACAGTCGAAATGTTTAGAAAACTTTTCCATGTTCTTCAAACAACTTCAAGGAAGAGGGGTGTTCAAAACGTGGACCGAGTCAATGAGCAGAAAGTTCCTTCTGTAACGTTCTGCTCTTTGATCTTAACTTCACCAATAACGAGATTTACCGCGTGGCTTGACAATACTAGTATATTTAAAAGCATAAAAAATTAAACACAATTAAGAGATTAAACATTTTGTGGTTCTGGCGGAGCCTCCGAGAAAGACCTGATTCAAAGGGCACTGATTTCTCTCGTATCACCATTACCGCCTTATCGCCCGACAGCAAGCCATTCATATATAAGATAACGCACAGCCTCAAATGCGAGGGCAACTGGTTATAAACAAGCTGCATTGCTCCGTGCCCAGATAATGTATCTGTAATGTTCAGTGACCTCTCAAGCGAGATAAGTTTGTTTTCATCCAAAAGCAGGACAATCGACAAAAATAATACGTTTATTCATACATTATATTTATTTCCAAAGTGATCACACAGTAATTTCTAATCTCTTAAACATTTTGTTTATTTTTTTCGTTTTAAATATGTTAAAAACGTAAAAAAATGTTACGTAAAAATGTGTACTTGCACATCAAATCAAATCCATTCGGTATTCATCTTCAAAAATAGAATATAAAAATACACTGTCATGCAAGTGATGGTCCTTAAACGAATGACACCAGAATAATCATTCTATATCGTGTAATTCGCCAATGAATGTATTAACTTTGTCGAAGTAGTCATCTTCTGAGTTATTGTTACCTCTTTCAGCCTTCTTATTGCATCAAGAAAAGCCATAAAGGTATCAATGAAAAATATAAACTGAAAATTACCCTTTATTTAGCGTTAAATTGGATTTAAACAAACCATTCTTACAAACTTCTTACAAAATCTTAAATGAAAATTAACACACCAGAACAAAAACTTAATCAATTTTGAATAACTGAATAAAATAAGTTTTTTGTTTATTACATAAGCGTTTTTAAATGAGTTAGAAATTATTTCAGATTTGGTATAAAACAGAATGATAATATTAAGTTTTATGTTTTAGCAAATATAATAATTTCAATCAAAAGTAGGAGGAGTAGGCATAATATAACAAATTGAAGAAAGAAATATAAAGTAGGGGTGATGAATCGTTTCTAATACTGCGGCTACTTTAATGTTACGAAAATTGATATATCGCCTTTCCCTTTCATTTTCTGTCTTTCATTTGTTGTATTATGACAATTATCCCAACTTTCAATTCAAAACCATATTTGCCGAAAAATTCATTTATTTAAATTGATTCATTAACATTACAAATTCGTTCATTTGAAATTTGCTTTGAACCGGATGTGACAGCGAGGGAGAAGCTACTAAAAGCTGCTCAAGTAATATATATACAAATGTTGGAAATTACGCGTTTTACTCATACTCTCGGCGTGAGAGAAATTCGAAGACCCCTTGATTAGGCGGTTAACATCTTTTATTCAAATATTTTGAATGCCTATCATCACCAATAAACCAGCAATTAATAAGTACTTCAATGTGAACGAATGATCAAGTAGAAGATATTGTACTCACCATTAAACGTAGATTTTCAGCTATCAATATTAGAAACACAAGACACGTTCAGGCGGATACCACGAAATCACTGTCACAGGTTGATTTTCTAGGTTGCAAAAGAAAAGAGTTTTTCTGGCGAAAATTTGCCGTTTTGTGACGCACGATAACATAACTTTCTTTTCTTACGAAGAAATTCCTGAAGCGAGAAAGTAAAAAAAAATGCACTCGGAGCACCACACGCTGCAAATGCTGTAACATTTTTCAGAGGCGCAGAATAACCATCGGGAGAGTACAAGATTAAGCAAGACGCTCAATGGTGCCCTGAATCCCAAAGAAGTTGTTCGAAGAGCCAAAACAAATGAGACATTTTAAAGCGCCAAGGTTTCCACAAAGTACAACTTGCAAACGAAGGTGAAATATTTAGCAAACCACAAACTTAAAACCATTTTTTTTTTAATTTTGTGAGCGAGAACCGTCATTTGCAAGCGTTGATCGCTGCTAGTTTGTTGTGCCCTATACACTTAGTTCAAAGAATAAGCAAGAAAATACTAAGTTTCCAAGTTCTCTTCGGCGCAAAAGATTTGCATAACGACTGCACGTTGTATTCGCGGCGGGAATAAATTCAAAACACTGTAGGATAAACGATTTTCAGAAATAAATATTTATTTACAAAAAATTTAGATACCTACAAGCCAAAAAAATATTTGAAATCAGTTTTAGTGCAAACTTCGTTTTGCATTGTTCACAAGAACAAATATATTTATAAATAACCTGACATAATAGCAAAATCAGATATAATGAGGGGGGGATATGTACATTACTTCTCTGTAAGAGTGCCAGAACCATGTTGAATAGAATTACCTTGGAAATATTATTAAAATTCGCATGGGTATATCGCATTAAGAATATAAATTATTTGCAATTACCTTCACGTATGGCATACAGAAGGCGATTAAATTTTCTTTGCACCTAAAGAAATATGGACAGTTTTTGACCATTCAATTTCCTTCTAATTATTCAGAATGTCTTCTAGATGACCATAAAATGCTTTGGTTGATAGCGTAATACAAAACTTTGCAAATTAAAAACTAAAACTTAACTGTTACCTCAAATAATGAACCTGTTATTTTATTCACATTACAACAAAGAGAAAAAACATATTATATAGTTTTATATGTAATATATTTTGGCCTATTATAGAAGTGTCAATTTGTACACGTTTGCATGTGTAAACGTTTTTTCGTACGGATTTTTGGTGCAAAGAAGTACTTTTTTGTTTATTTGGATTAAACGTTTTTCATTTCTTGATATGGCCAGCAACTTAGGTTTTGGGCAATGTATATTATCAATAGGAAAGACAAATAATTCAATATCTCGCTTGTATACATTATAAACAACTATAAATTTCGAAACAAATAATTTTCAGCGTCAATACTAAATTCATTTCCAAAAACAAAAAAAACTGCTGGTTTATTCTAATGTAGGAATTCGCCCTACGGCAATTCCTGGCTGGCTCACTTATTTTAATTAATATAAAAATGAAAGAAGTGATGGCAATTCAAAAAAACTCCCTTGCCGTCTGAAAAAATCCTTTGAAATGCATTTAAACAGGGCCAGCAAAAATGAATAATTATTGTAAATTCATTTGAACTATTTTGAATTTTTAAAGATATTATTTGTTATTGTTATGATTATTATTACTATTGTTGTTTTAAAATAATAATTATTAGAGAACTTCCATTTTATAAAAAAATGATATTTAATACTGAAAAATTGTAAATATGTATTGAAACAAAAAAAACACTTAAAATGTTGCTTTATCATTCTAAGAAGATTAATGTTAGGTAATAAAGGTAATTTATTACCTGACTTATAAAATTTAATGAAATATTTAATTCCTGCTTCTTAAAAATATAATTATGTATTTTGGCTTAATAGCCAAAAAATATCCAAATAATTTCCAGATTGGTGTGTAACACGTAAAGGTTTTTCATGGACAAATGACTACTACTATTTTAAAGTTGTCTTCCATTACTGTAGCTCATAACAATACAAGACGCCCGCAATGGAACATGTGTACAGAAGCAATTACTGTAAAAAACCCTTTTCAAGTCAGAGGACCGTAGTCTTTAAAAAACTGTGTTCATCAGCGTGATGAAACTTAAAACATCTTTCCACTTACGTCATAACCACGCTTCCAGTAAGGAGTCAAACATATCAGTGACCTAACCCCTGTCTTTCACAATACTCGTTACTACGTATACAAGTTGTTTTCTTCCCATTGATTACGAAGAATTTATTCCTTCCTGGATACGTACGTATTACGAACTTCTGCTATGTGACTACTGGTACACAACTTTATGAATATTTCTGAAGTTAAGTAATATCCTTTCTATTCAATAATTACATTACAATATAAAGAAAGAATTGTATGGAAATTGCTTTAAACAAAGAGCCGTAATGCGTTATTATTTATGTCAGGTAATGATTGACTCTGCTATTGTTCCAAATCGTTTCCTCCTTGGTATTGTTGATTCAGATAAGCGGCTTTTTTTATTCTGTGATGATCCTTACGGATTCATCAAAACATTAACGTAATTTGTTTTAATAGTCCCGGAAACAAGTGAAGAATTTCAAAAAAGAAGTATTAATTTTCTTTTGTGCCGGAGCTGAAGAACTGTGTTGAACAACAGACCGACCGAGATAAATAAATAAAAGGGTGTTTTAGTGTTACAAATATTAAGTAGGATGTAGGGGTGAGGTATACCTAGGATGTGGAGGCGTCAGGCGATCTTCGAACGAGGAATCCTCATAATGAACCCATCTACCTCTGGGCCAGCTCTGGACGAAGACGCGGTGGTGGTTGCAGGGATGAGCTTCTGCGTGGGCGTGACGTACACTGATTTAGCCTCGTTGGCCTTCGAACACGGAATCCTCATAATGAACGAATCCACCCCTGGGCCAGCTCTGTACGAAAGCGTGGTGGTGGTGGCGGTTGTTTGGCTGTGCCACTGCGTGGGCGTGAGGTACACTGATTTAGCCTCTTTGGCCTTCGAACACGGAATTCTCGTAATGAACCCATCGCCCCCTAGGGCAGTTCTGAACGAAAGTGCGGTGGTGGTTGCAGGGATGCGCCACTGCGTGGGCGTGAGATACACACAGCTTCTTCAGCCTTCGAACACCGAATCCTCATAATGAACCCATCCCACTGGACCAGCTCTGAACGAAGGTGGGGTGGTGGTTGCAGGTATAGCTACTGAGTGGGCGAGAGGTACACTGATTAGCCTCTTTGGCCTTCGAACACGGAATCCTCATAACGAACCCATCCACCCCTGGGCCAGCTCTGAACGAAGGGGCGGTGGTGGTTGCAGGGATGAGCCACTGCGTGGGCACGATGCGGCGGCGGGGCCTCAAGGCTGCGGACGACGGCGCGGCGGTGGCGCATCTGCGGGAGGCCGGCGCCATCCCGCTGTGCGTCACCACCACGCCTGAGCTGTGTCTGGGCTGGGAGACCAACAACCTCGTCACCGGCATCACGCGCAACCCCTTCGACCTGCGCCGCTCTCCTGGCGGCTCCTCCGGCGGAGAGGTAAGTCTGGAGCGCCGTTCGCACGCGGCAGTGGGTCCTCCACAGCACATTGATCCCGGACGGTGAACTCCTGAGGCTGTTGGTCCCATTAGTGCAGTGCGTGTTTCTTCCCGGGGTGGTGACCTTCCCCCGCTGACGGACGAGAACCGGCGTCGATCTACGTCGGCTTGCGAATTTCTCAACCAGGTATCTCCTACCAGTGGATCACCCCCAGTCGGGACAAGCTATAAGCATCTGTGCATGTAAGTGTAAGTGTGTGTAAGTAAGGGGTGATAAAAGGACAAGTTAGAGGGAGGAATGATCGCGCGCGGTCCTTGGCCCGTTTGCGAGGGTACTGCTCCGCTATTCACCTGGTGTTGCTCGGAGAAACTGGGGAAAACTCGTATCGGAGCAGCCGTCCACTACCATTCTTCTCGTGCGAGCGGATTAATTCGCCCAAGCAATGTAGCTAGTGTCATAAGTCCTGCCACCATGGGCACTCGAAACCTAATCAGAGGCACTCTAGTGACATCAATTGATGCTTGATCAATTGATCCACCTAAGTCGGTTCCGCAACGTAGGTCACGTAGTTAGTCTCACTTTGATGGGTCGCGTGTTCTAATCCCGTCCCGATCATGGATGTTTCGTTGTGTTTGGTGACATGGTGGGTTTCTCTCAGTTTCCATGTATCACCTTTCAACCTTCTACCTTCCATTCGTGTCCGGCCTGGGTAGTTCAGGTTGGCGCAGGGTCCAAGTACGCGTTACATCTTGACCTCGGGTTCAAATTACTTCCTATGTACGTCATGGATGCGGTGTACCTGTGTCATAACATTCCTTCCTTACACACCATATATCATCCTTCACTCTAAAACTTCCCTACTTAGATCTTCTCCAGTTAAATTTAAAAGCATCAATAAGGCCAGAAGCGCGACGTATGGGCCAACAACCCGAAGAGTCAGCTCCATCTAAATGTTGCCTAGTTTCATTTCTATAATGCAGAACTAAGGGGCGATGACCTCCTGAGATGCGATTGTCCAGCAGTTTTCCTTGCGCCTCCCGTGTCAAGAGATTTCCTTGCGCCTCCCGTGTCAAGAGATTTCCTTGCGCCTC